TCGTTCAACAATTTTTTGTCGACTAGTAAAAAAGAACAGATAGCCATAGAATTCGTTCAACGTGCCATGCACAAGAATAAAGATATTGTGGGTGTTCTCTTCATGATGACAATTGATCCAAGTAAAATATCAGTTTCGACTACACCATTCGCCCTCATCGACGAATACAGTGCCATCAAAAGCGAAAAAGAAATTTTATTTTCAATGCACAGTGTTTTTCGTGTCGATGATATCAAACAGGCAGTCAGCAACAGTCGCCTATGGGAAGTTCAATTAAGTCTTACAGGCGACAATGATCCACAATTGGCTACTCTTACTGAACGCATAAAAGGAGAACTCCGTGGATCCACAGGATGGCACCGTTTGGGTGACGTAATGATTGAAGTGGGTCACTACAATCAAGCTGAAGAACTTTACAATGAACTACTGAAGAACTCGTCCAGCGACAGTGATAGAGCAGATATATATCATCAGCTTGGACGACTGAAAAGCAGAAAAGGACAATATAAACAAGCAGTTTCATTTTATGAAAAAACACTTGAAATCGAGCGAAAAACTCTTCCGGAAGATCATTCTTCATTAGCGGACACATACAACAACATCGGTGGAGTGTATGACAACATGGGTAACTACTCGAAAGCACTTGAATTTTACGACAAAGCACTTAAAATCTACGAAAAATCTCTGCCTCCGAATCATCCCGATTTGGCTACTTCCTACAACAACATCGGTGCAGCGTATGACGCCATGAGTAACTACTCGAAAGCACTTGAATTTTACGATAAATCACTTAAAATAAGAGAAAACTCTCTGCCTCCGAATCATCCCTCATTGGCTCAATCCTACAACAACATCGGTCTTGCGTATGACAACATGGGTAACTACTTGAAAGGACTTGAATTTTACGAAAAAGCACATCAAATCTTCGAAAAAACTCTGCCTCCGAATCATCCCTCATTGGCTACTTCCTACAACAACATCGGTGGAGTGTATGACAGCATGGGTAACTACTCGAAAGCACTTGAATTTTACGACAAATCACTTAAAATAGGAAAAAAAGTTTTGCCTTGGAATCATCCCGATTTTGCTATTTCCTACAACAACATCGGTTCGGTGTATGACAACTTTGGTAGCTACTCGAAAGCACTTGGATATTGGGTGTTGGTGTGGGTGTGGATGTGAGTGTAGTTATAGGTTTGGGTTTGGGTTTCAACATAGATCTTTTCTTGACAACACCCACATCTACACCCACACTTTAAAAAAATAGGTACTTTCCTGAACCCTCCAAAAAGGTTTCGTAGGTGTCCAAAAGCTTCCAAATGCGTTCAAACGTTCAAAAAAACGATTCTAAAAATCTACGAAACCATAAAAGGGTCTGACCGCGGATACACGGGCGGAACCATCTCCTACGAAACCTTTTTCAAGTGCCATACAGCGAAAAAACGTTTCTTAAGAAAATACGAAACCTTTATAGTTTCTTAGTAAACCTTATGGTTTCGCACTACGGTTTTATACGAAACCATTATTTTTACTAGGAAACTATAAAGGTTTCGTATTTTCTTACGAAACCTTTTTTCGCTGTACGGAACTTGAAAAGGTTTCGTAGGAGATGGTTCCGACCGTGTATCCGCGGTCAGATCCTTTTAAGGTTTCGTAGATTTTTGGAATCGTGTTTTTGAGCGTTTGAACGCATTTGGAAGCTTTTGGACACCTACGAAACCTTTTTGGAGGGTCCAGGAAAGTATCTATTTGTTTTACAGTGCACCCACACCCCACACCCACACGCACTTACAACCACATCCAAACCCACACTTCGCACCCACACCCACACCCACACTTACATACCACCCCACACCCACACCCACCCACACCACACACTCACATCCACACCCCATAATGAGGGTGGGCGTGGATGTGACCGTGTATTTTATTTTCACGTACAGCAACATCGACTGCCACATACCATCCAAGGCGATGACACTCAAGTGGTTGTGGAGACAATAACTAAAGAAAACTTGAAAAGACTAATAATCCCATGAACAATGTTGTAGGGCTTTTTCTACTTTGTTTATTGTTGACAGTTATATTCTCATTTTAAGCTAGGTAGAGTTTACTGAGTGTCAACGAATAAAAATACTTACATGTGAAATCGTAAGTCTAGAAAAAAGCCGAATACAGCAGCGATATAAATGAACAGCGTGATTTCTATTCAAACAATTGTAGATTACTCACAATTCTAGATTATCACTCAAGCGGCATATCATATACAATATGAGTGGACACACGTTCAAAACCACAGTTTCTACGTCACACATCGATGCCATTACAATTTCAAGAACATCTTCAAATACCATTGAATCAAAACAACACCGAGTTCAAGATTATTCCTTGATTTGGATAGACGGCAACATTGATGTGACCAATAAGAATTGTCAAAATGCGCTTGCGCAATTACGCAGTGTCATTAATGACGTCCATACTTTCACCCAATCGGATGAAGGCGTTGACTTTCTCACTGAAGTCAATGACAGAAAGGTGTTCCTCGTTGTAGCAAGTACTATGAGCCCATCAATGATACCTTTGATACATGACATTGCGCATCTTGACTGCATTTACATTTTTTCTGAGAATGAAACACAACACAAAGAATGGACAACAAACTTGCCAAAAATTCAAGGTATCTTTACAGAAATTACACAAGTCTGTGATTCATTACAAAAAGTCACTCGTCAATGCGATCACGACGCAATGCCGATGAGTTTCGTTCCAAAAGAGATGGTGGTAGCAACAGCAGCATCTGCCGAACGCAATCTCGACCAATTGGAGCCGTCTTTTATGTATTCGACATTATTCAAAGAAATTTTATTGGAAATCGAGGAAGACGACGCTAAGTCGATGAGTGACCTTGTCGCCTATTGCAGTAACAAAGGTGTTCCTGAATCACAATTAAAGGACTTTCAGGGTAGATACCACGATAAATCGCCAGTTTGGTGGTATACTCGGCAAATTTTCCTCTACGGCATGCTTAATTGCGCCCTACGGTCACTTGACATGGAGGCCATGACAAAAATGGGTTTCTTCATTCGCTCCCTCCATCGACAATTAGAGAAACTTCATCAAGAACAATCGAATGCCTATATGACAAAATTTATCGTCTATCGAGGTCAGGGACTTTCACAACAGGATTTTAAACATTTACTCGACTCGAAAGGTGGACTTCTCTCGTTTAATAATTTCTTGTCGACCAGTAAAAAAGAACAGGTCGCCATGGAATTCGTTCAACGTGCCATGCACAAGAATAAAGACATCGTGGGTGTCCTTTTCATCATGCCAATTGATCCAAGTAAAATTTCAGCTTCAACTACACCATTTGCTCTCATCGACGAATACAGTGCTATCAAAAGTGAAAAAGAAATTCTATTCTCAATGCACACTGTTTTTCGTGTCGATGATATCAAACAGACGGTCAGCAACAGTCGTCTATGGGAAGTACAATTGACTCTCACAGGCGACAATGATCCACAACTGGCTACTCTTACTCAACGCATAAAAGGGGAGCTCTGCGGATCCACAGGA